CCGGCTCCCCCACCCCCTAACCCCAGGCCTCCCCACTGGGATCCATAAACGGTGATGTCTGTCACCAGGAGGGCTAAGTGCCAGGACCTGCCCAGGCATTTCTGCAGCAGAATTGGAAAAGAGAAGCCTTTCATACCTCTCAGCTCTGTCCTCTCACCGTGCCACCCAACCAATGCGCAGGAAAATTCAGAGCCTACTGGCCAGGGGCCATCACCTCTGTTTCCTGTCCTGCAGACTAAGGGAGGCCCTGGGCAAGATGGCAATATCTGTTCGGGGCTCCTCCCCCAGTCTCTTGGCTTTTCCACCTGCCAGGGGAAAACTCTGCTCCACTCGCTCCCTCTAGCCGTCCACTGCTTCCTCCTTTGGCTGGCTCTCTTATTCTCAAGTCTTTCTGATCTACCAAGGCAGAACTACCTAGCAAATCAGACTTCAGATTTTGGGCAAATTCCAACCCATTGTTAGTCTTTCTTGTAAGCTGTGAGGCGCCTTCCGGTCTCAGTTTAGAAATAGTGGGAACATGGTTGATTAGTTTTGCTTGCCACATGCCTGAGTGGGAATATAGGTAAGATGTAGCATGTTTGCACAGATGTGGACACTATTTTTATACCAAACCAGTGAAATAGAGTTCAAATAGTTTTGCTAAAAAGGGCTGAAAGTCTGAGGTTAAGAGTTTGGCCATAGTAAAGCATGAGTAAAATGTGGGGGAAAAATACTTGGTTTTGGTGATGACGATCATAATTTATGTTTTTATTTTCTACCTTAAAAAAAGTTTTTGGTGGCGATATGACTTATTTATTATTTACATAACTGATTGCATGTACTTTGGATGGTTCTATTAAACATTCAAGAGTGCAATTTGTTTTTCTGGAATTTGAGGGGGCCCATTTCAAATTGCATTGGGTTGCTGAGGGTCGCCCCACGATATGTTTACTCTAGGGGATGCACATGAGTCTCTTCCTGATCAAGGATATGGCTGGAAAGTGTTTGTACTGGTGGGAGTGATGGCCATGATCTGGAATCTTCTCGCCAGTGAAGAACTCTGCTTCTGAATAACCAGCTGGAATGTTGGGAGGTACATCAAATACTTTCAAAGTAGTGTGAGCACACACTATTTCTCCTTTATTTACTTTCTACTTTCTAAATGTTCTGCTATGAACCTGTATAATCAGAAAAAATAAGATATAAAAAGAATATAATGCTATGTACCTAGTGTCATACTGTGTGTTTTTTTTCTATAGCTATATCTATTGGTGGTGAAAGTTTTAGTGGTTTTTAATTTTTCATATTTCCCAAGTTTTCTGCAATTATTAATATGTATTAAGGAGCATTGGTTAATTGTAGAACCAGGGAAATATTTTTAAAGATACAATACTTTTTTTTTCTTAGCAAAACAAGCAAAAAAAAAAAACCCAGTTGATAAAAATGAATTACAGATGGAGATCTAATCAGAAAAGGAAGCTTAATATGTTTGAGAAAGAAATACAGAAATATAGAAAGCTATATTTACTACCTTAGAATAGGGATGGGTTCCTTAATCAAGACATAACATATTAGCCGTGAAAGAAAACTTGATTAACTTCATTCAACTGTGATGTAATTGAGAATTCATGTTCAGCAAAAGCCAACATAAAGAGAGTCATAGATCGAGCCACACTCCTGGAGAAAATATTTGTCACACATACAGCTGAAAAGGTTAGAAATATTTTTCTATATTAAAATATATAAATATTAGTTTCAGAATATATAAATAATCCATACCAATCACTGATGATTAGAAAATGATGGTGTCCAAAAAATGGGCCAAGGACATGAGTGGGCACCTCATAGAAGAAGAAACGCAAATGTACCAAAACATATGAAGATAACCACTCCACCTTGTTAGTACTCAGAGAAACACAGGCTATTCCACTGAGATACCATCATATACAGAACTGGAGGGCCAATGTTTAAGTTCGAAAAGGCAAGTGGAGGGGGGAGGGTATAGCTCAAGTAGTAGTGCTTAGCACGTGTGAGGTCCTGGGTTCAATCCCCAGTATGTCCTCTAAAAATAAATAAGTAAATAAATAATAAGAAACCTAATTACCTCCCCCCGACCAAAAAACAAATAAAAACTTAAAAAATAAAAAGGCAAGTGGAAATGAGAACGTGGGGCATCTAGAACTCTACACTGCTGGGGTTACAGCCACTGGGGAAAACACTTGGGTGTGATTTGTCAAGTTCAGCATGAGCATACAGTAAAAGCCAGTAATTCCAATTCTGGGTATCTACCCAGTGAGAGATGCTTGAATGTGTGCCCCTGAAGACAAGTGCAAGAATATTCAAAGAAGCAAGTTTTCATAGTAGCAAAACCCTGGACAGCAGAATAACATGCTGGAAGTGACAGTTCAGGAAGAATGAAGGAACCCAAGTACACACATCAGTGTGGCTGTACCTTAGTAAAGCAAAGCTGAGAAAAACACAAGTCCAACAAGATGAGGTACATGCAGTGTAACGCCATATCTCAAAGCTTCCAAACAAGCAAATCTGGACAGTGCATGATTAAGGGATTCCCACACAATAGGATATACAAAATTTTAAATCATCAAGGAAATGACAAATACAAAATTTGAGTTAGAAGTCGCTCTGTTGGAGAGGTGGGAGGTGGGAATGGGGAAGCCACACATTTGTAGCTTTGACCATATAGTGTATTGGTTGCACTACACTTTTTAAATTGAGAAAGGGATTCACAATTGTTTCGGCCCTTATTATGTTTTAGAACTTGGACACATGTAATATTTTAATATACTATGTATTACATTATTTTAAATTGTCAGCAGCTACAGAGGTGGAACACCTTAGATATGAACTCAGTCTTGACTGAGCATTCCAAACTCTTAAACCTATCTGGTCATAATGTATTGTTGTCTCATTAAACGTGCTTTGAATATGAAAAAAAAAATTCCTGATTGTAATCTTTGGTCTGTGTACGGAGGCACAGACTCATTCCCGTATCCCCACTCTTTACTGTTGGGCCAACTGATGTCCTTCAGAGTCTGACGACCCCCATTCCTAGGCTGGCAGATGTCTGCCTGTGATCCCTCAACAGATAAAGTACATTCTTTACTAGGCATGTTTGCCCTAACAAACTAACAGTCCTAGGTAATCATCTCATGATAGCTCAGGTTGGCTTGTTTCAGCCCACCTTAGCAGAGGCAAACCCCACCACTCTTCATGGACCCTAAACCTCTTACCTCATCTACAACCAATCAGAGCCTTGCACACAAGCCGATCAGGCACCTTGTGGCTCTACCTGATAAAAGACCCCAATAACTGGCCCTCAGTGCTCACACAGTCACCCCTCGCCTGTGTGGCCCACTGTTGTCTATGACAGTGTACCCCTAATAAACTCTTTTCTATTCTTATACTTAATCTCTAGTAAATTCTTTTACCAAACCCACGCCTTGTGATGTCACCAACCGGCCGCCCTGTTGTGTCACACATTTACTCCTCTACATCTTCCCAAATGAAGGTGGTCCCCCAAGGGCAGCTGAGAGGGAGAGGGTGGGATGAACGCCGACATCACACTTCTCTAGTGCTCTCTACAGACCTACTCTTCCAGAGAGTAGGGTACCGGCTGGACCTCCGGGCATCCTCTTCACATAACCAGGTGAGGGTTTGTTTCCTGAGTACACTGAGGAACTCCCCTGGCCCTGCACCCCAGGGGTCAGCCTATCGGACTGACAGTCCTTTACTTCTCCACAGAACTGCTGGAAGAGACAGGGTAGGACTCTGAGCCCTGGAATCCTGGGCAGCTAGGGGAGATAGGGGGTCAGGGGCAGTCTGGTGAGGGGATGGGAAAAGCAATTGCCTTCTGGAAGACTGGAAGTAAGGGAGATGCACAAAGCAGAGGGGCCACTGCAAGCTACTGCTGCACACACCGGAGACCCTCGGGAGGTGAGTGCCGTCAGGACCATGGGGACCCGCTCCCTTTTCCCCGATGAAATACCGAATGGGAAGAAGTTGGGGTGATGGCAGACCTGGAAATGAATCCAGGTCTTCAATGCCCAGCCCAATGCACTGTCATGACAACCTTCCCTTTTACTCTCCACAGTCCCAGCCACGGCCAGCCCCTCACATAACATTCAAAATGGGGAGGTAACAAAGTTCGAGCTGCTGGGAGTGATACAGAAGCGCCCTCAAGCGAGTAACCAGGCTGTCGTGCCTAGCATTTAAAGTTAGGCATTATCTAACCATTAAGACTCACAAAATGTTCAGCTGAGATCCAGAAATCCACTCCAAGAAGCACAGGGGTCAGGCTAGGTTTGGTCTCTGCATCATCTTCTTGAGTTTCCTGGCTGGCCAGCCGAGTGTGTCTGACCACTACAAGCAAACAGCTTTCCTGCTGTTTGTTTTCCACCTGTGTGCAGGTGAGCAGAAGCAGAAAGGAAGCCTTCCTGTCCAGCAGCACTGCCCCCTACCCCCAACACCTCCCACCTGGTTTCTCCAGCCTGGCTGGCCCCTCCACAACTCTATAGAGCCTTCAGCTCAGGGAGCCGAAATTAAAAATTAATCACCGGTGGGGTGAAAACAACAGCGCTGTTCCTTGGCTCCGGGCCAGTCTCCCAGGATATGCGTCAGAAAAAGCCAGTGAGTGAAATTCCAAAGCCTGATTCACATGAGTCACCAGGGAGGAGGAGAGACCAGGATAGAAGTCAGAATGAGAGCCTGAGGGCAGACCAAAGCAGGGCCCTGGGGGTCAGGGGCTGGGCAGAGGCATGGGGAATTCTCACCTGCCCATAGGTGGGATAAGGGACTGCTGCCCAGGTAGCTTATCTCTGAGCTCAGCAGGACCCTGGATGGGGTGGGAACTGACCATGAGGCCTGCCTACTGGTTCCACCCCTGGATACAGTAACCATGTTCTTCACCTGGCTCCCCATAGGCTAGCTTTTGGATCCCAGCCTTTAAAATCCCTGTGGTTGTTTCCTCACGCATTCCCTCCCACTGACCCAGCCCAGGACACTGCTTCTGGACAGGGAATGGTGACAAGCCAGCCAGGCCCCAGAGGAGAGGCAGCAGGTAAGTCCACCACTCATGTTCCACCTGTCCCGAGGCCACCTGGGCCCTTCCTCTGTGCCTGGAGAAGAGAGGAGCTCCGCCCGAGCCCTGGCTGGTCCTCACCTGGTTACTCCCAGCACTCAGTAAAATGTGCAGTTCTCAGACTGATTTCTGGGATGGAGGGAGGCGTGAAGGCAAGACGAGGGGCAAGGGGTTAGGAATCAGATGTCTTCCTTATCAAGGTGCAGTAGCCCCCTGGACTGCGGCCCAGCAACCCGAGGCAGCCAGTCTCTGGGCAGGAAGTGGGGAGAGTGTCTTCAGGTACCAGCGCCAGCGGCTGGACTGGATCCCACTCTCTCCTTGTGAACCTAGCCAGGAGGGAAGGGGAGACCCCAACAGCCCATTTCATCCTTATCAATCAGTGTAGCCAATGGCCAGGATGGAGCACACTGCCAGCCTGAGATGCTGGGCTACCACGGCCCTCCTGCGCACTCTGTCTTCTGCTCCTCCCCAACCTGAAGGGCCGCTGCCGACACCAGGGATGCCTCTGCTCTGCCAGCTACCCTGAGTCTAGCCTTTCCTTCCCACCTGGGCCCTGTGGGGCCCGTTAATGATCCCTCTCCACACCAGGAGCGCCCAGATTTTTCAGGTAGTAGGATCCATTTCCCCCAAAAGAAACTGACCCTACTTTTTCACATCTCCTACCCACCTACCATCCACCCAATTTGGTTCCTTTTACTAGTCACACTGGGCCAAAAATTCTCAGCCTTGCTCTAGGGATTCCTTCCAGGGCAGCAGAGATCCTAAGCCAGTCTGCTGTCACTTCCTTGCAAAGGAACAGCTGAGGGGCTTTTTTGTTTTAGGGACCAGGCTGAGAACAAGGCTTCTTGGCACCCCAGGGTGCGTGTCCTTGCTGGGCTGGGATAACTCAGCAAATGGCCGAGAATCCCAGGTGGGCAGCCATGGGCCTTGGCAACGGTGGAGGTGAGCACAGCTTAATTGGGAGGGGCTGTGTGAAGTCACCGTTTAAGGGTACAGCGGATCACCTTTACAGTTAACCCAGGCCTCAGGCTCTAAGTTACAGTAACTTTAGTTCTTTTTGTTACCAGACCTCTAGCTGCTAAGACCTGTCAGTTCCTCAGCTGGAGATTACACACATATACATATACCTATATGCATGCAAATACAGGGTTATAGGAAGATAGTTGGATATATCCCATCAGCTGAGTTAAAAGCTCCTGTCTTGAGGCATGAAAACATTTCCACATTCTTGACTGCCTATGGGGCAAGCTGGAGGTAAGTATGGGCTGGAAGAGGACTTTGAAGCAAGTTTCAGCTAGTCCATTCCTGCTTCTCAGCTTTCTGTTTCCCTAAAAACATCAAATGATAACATCACACAGTCAGGATTTCAAAACTGGGGGGCATCCTTCAACAGACCCATGTAGTCTCACACAAGGGGAGACGGAAACGCGGAGATGGAAGGACCGGTGGTGCAGGGGCTGCACCTGGCTACAAACTCCCCGGGGGACTTTTCTGAGCTGGGCCTCCGTTTTCTCATCTCATCCATAAGAGAAAGAGAGTTGTTTTAAAGTGAATTAACATGTTAACGCTCTAAAATCAGGGCATGAGGTTGGAAAGGGCTCAGGGGCTGTGCCGTCAGAGATGATCTGAGCCACCTGCCAGAGGGGAGTCCTCACTCCGTGCTGGCCTCTTTGTGGCCCTGACAAGTCACATCACTTCTTGAAGCTTCAGTTTCCTCGTCTGCCAAGTGGGGATGATAATAGTACCTCCTTACAGGATTGTTTTGAAGTTTAAAGAAAGTAGTACATGTAGCCCAATACTGGACATGTAATAAACTCTCAATTAATAATAATAATAATAATGTAATCATTAACTATATATTATTATTATTTATTAAACTTAAGCTCCTTGATGGTATCATTGTTATTTTATAACCCTCACAATCTCTATCAGTGTCTAGTAGTAGCAGGTGCTTGACATGTACGTGGTAATTGGAAGAAAGGCTAAATGAACAAATGAGCAAACGAGTCTCATTTTTCCCAGAGGCCCAGGACAGGGGATGTGACTTGAGTTGCATGGACAGGCCCCATGCCTTCAGCCTGGGCAGGGCTGTTAGTGGTCCACGCCACCTCTGTCTGCAACATGGCCACCGCAGGGGCTCCGGGGAGACAGAGGATTGTCAGGGCTCTGACTGGTGCCTCCCAACACCAGGGCTCCCCGGTCCTCAGTTCTGCGTGTATAAAATGGTGGCTGGGGAGGTTGGAACCCTAGGTCTGCTGAAGTCACTCTTCCGCCCAGGGCGTCCCCGTCAGGATGTGGAGATGGCGATGCAAGGGTCTCCTCTCGGGGTTGCCTCCAGCTCTAGGATTCCACCCACAACTCAGGCTCTCTGAGAGTGGGCATCCCCTAGGAGGAAGAAAGGTAGGTAGACCAGGGGTGAACTTCCCAGAGTACGTGGTAAGCCCCGGACTACCAGACTAAGTTGAGGTGTGGGCTCAGTGGCCTTTGAAGTGCCCTGGACTGTGGTTCCAAGGGGCCACATAGCAGCACCCCCCTGTGCCTGCCACTCTGCCCCGTGGCCTGTGCCAAAGGCTGTCTAATGGGCTGACTTGTTCTCTGGGAAACTTCCAACTCTGAGCACCCTCTTTTACCCTCTATTTCCCCACATTAGCCCCACTGCAGCCTGGTCTGCCTCCCTTCTCTCCTCCTCGCTCTATGTGTTGCCCTGGGGGTCCAGTAAGCTGAGAATGACCACACCCTGCAGAGCAATGCTCTGGCTGGGACAGGTCACATTGGACACTCCACACTGCCCTTCCCCCTTCTCAGCCATTGAGCCCCTTCTCAACCACCACCCTGGACGGAGCTGTAGCTTCCTGGGGTAGATGGCTGCTAACTCTGGTTGGTTGGAGCCTGAGAGAGGACTTGCGGGTCCAGAGAAGACCAGAGAAAATGCAGCTGCCCAGCTGGTCTGTTATCACTGTCACCACTTCAGGAACCTTCTAGCCAGCATTCCCTGGCCACCTGCTCCAGAACCATCCAGGGTTCACTAATGGCCATTAGGGGTCCTGTCTCTCCACTGGCTGGCTGCCTTCCTCCTCTTTGACCAAGTCAGAGCCACATGTGTGTATTTTTATAAAAATCTCTGCCAGGAGGTGGGGAAGGGAGAGGAGAGGATGGGGAGAAGAAGAAGAGGAAGGAGAGGAAGAGGGAAAGAAGTAGAAAAGGGGTCTGTAAAGGTGGATGAAGTGGGTCTTTGACAGATCCCAGACTTTGTGGGGACACGGAGCTCTGGGGACCTCAGGGGATTCTCTTCCTCTGGTTACAAAAAGGCCAGGCCAGAGTTGATCTTCCAGATCAACGCTTGATTTCACTGAGAATCCCAAGGGCACAGGAATTGGGCTCCAGCCTCCACTCCAATGCCTTTCACACTTTCTGTTTCTTGTGTTGTTGGAGTCCAAGCACCAAGAAGGCGCCATGGCCAGGGGCAAAGGATGTGGAGTGGCTCCACAGGGAACTCAGGGCACAGGGGAAGACCAGGTCCCTGCACTATCCTTAACCTGAGTCAAGAGCAGCTCCAACCTTAAACACATGTCTGGCTGCTGACATGCAGCAAAGCTAAGGGGAGGGTCCAAGTTCAGGCTAGGCTGACCTTGACAAGAACACTGAGCCTTCTTAGTGTTTACTAAACAAACCCTGTCCTTCTGAGTAGGGCAGCCAAATTTAACCCAGCCTCATCACTATGTGATTATGCTTCTAAGATGCTCTGTTCTGAGCCACGCAGTCCTTTATCTGGAAGCAGTAAATAATAATACACAGTCACAGTGGACTACTTCTGAGGGACAGCAGAAAACGTTCCTATCCCCAGAATCAAGTATTATTCCCGTGAGCTCTACCGAGGAAGAAAATTGGGTCAGAAGAGAGGCGACTGGGGGCTCCTGGACACACACTTCCCCTGCCCTCTCTCCCAGCCTCCTCCCTGCCCCAAACACTACAGCCACATGGAAACCCATGGGGAACAGTTGGGGCTTTTTATAATCTTTATTTGTTAACAGTTCAGGCTATTTTTTTTTTTTCATGCTGTAAGAGATGCCAATGCCTTACGAAAAGTTGTGAAAAAAACAAGTCTATTTTGGGGAGATCAGCCTCCTCAGAGCCTCTCACTTGCAGCTCTGCAGGCTCCAGGAATGGGCCTACCCTCTCTCAGAAGTTCTGCAGCTTGCCTCAAGTACAGGGTCTTGGGCCTGGATGCACTAGCTAGGGGGTGCATTTTATCCCCCTCTTATAACTTTTCTGCCTGAAAAACAGGGCGGAAGTAACACCATCTAGCTTCCAGCTGGCCTGTTGGTAGCTTCCTGTGCGCTGTCCTGAGAAATGAACATCCCAGGAAACTCAAGGTGGATCACATCTTTTCCCCATGGCATTCCTGGTGGTGGTACTTGCAGCTCTTTAAAGATGTCAACCAACAAGTCTCGTGTTTCTTTATCGAACGATGAGCTGTTTCAGAGCTACGACGTCTGTTTCATGGAGGCCTCAGCCAGCTGTGGCTGCCTGGGGAGCAGGGTCAGGGTAGAGGGGCTTGGGTGGGTGGGCAGAGGGTTTTGCACGTTCAGAACTCTGCCAGCAAGGGCTGGCTGTAGCCTGGCCAAGCCAGACTGGGAGTGGATTCTTCAGTTCCCGCCTGGAACAGCCCTGCCAGCCCCACAGTGTGGCTGCAGGAAGGCTGTGAGGGCCGGCTGGGCTTGGAGGATCCCAAGCAGAATTCACTGTCTTGCCTGGTTTGTTCACTTCCTCAGGACCTCCCGGGCACCAGGGCCAAGGTGGGCCGGGGATTCTCCAGCCCTGGTAGGTCAGACTGTCAGACTTCTACCCCTCATGCTCGCCCCAGCCCTCCGTGCTGTCTGCTCTCCATAGAAAGCCCAGGGGGCACAGGCACACAAGGGACTGGTCCTCCTTTCCAGCATAGGTCTGCGATGCGGAGCCGGCGGAAGTGGAGGAAGAATTCGAGGGATCACACAACCTCTAATCTCAGCCCTGGAACAAGTCATGAGAAGATCTAGCTATCCCCTGTCTTCGAGCAAGGAATATTGTTATCCCCAAGGGGAGACTAGAGAGATGAAGAGCTTTGCCCAAAGGCACCCAGCCATTTCCCGGTGGAGGGGCACCTAGAACTGAGATCAACACCAACTAGTGCCAAGGCTCCTCTTCTGTTTTGGTTTCTTTTCACTCCACGCTCTTGGGGCTGTCCACATCTCTGCCCTCACTGGGCTTGGGTGGCCTCCTCTTCCCTTGGCTTCCTTCTGCCTTGTCACCCTCCCTGGGATGCCCTTCCATTATCCTTTAATGACACAGTGCCAACTGCTTCCAGGAGTACACAGCTGGCTTCTCCAAGTGCTTCCTTGATCATTCCCTAGCTCTCCTGTAGCTCTAGAAGTTTCTTTGACCTTATAAGGAAGCTGAAAGTCAGGAAGATGGCAGAATGAGATACTCTCTCTGCCTCTTACCGTGTCTAACCCTTCCTCCATCCCTTTCAGAAAGCTCAGCCTTCATGACCATCAGCTGATATTTTACTGAGTCCCAGTTTGGGTCAGGAACTGCTCCAATGAAAAGGACAGCCAATAAAATACAGGCCTTCACGCTGGGAACTCAGATGTCAGTGCTGGAATGATCCCCACAGGTCACCTGACCCAACCCTTGTACATGAGAAAGCTGAGGCCCAGAGAGGTCTTGGAATTGTCCAGTGTCACACAGCTGCATAAGGACAGAATCCAGGCCTACTGATGGACATTGGATTGCTCTTTCCAAATTACCAAACCAGTTCAGAATGTGCAGATGCCCACAGAAGGGGATGGCCCATGACCCCAGTTTTTGCCTCTCAAGTAGCCCCTTGACTTCCTGGATTGGCCTCTGTCTTGGACTCTGGGCTGAGTTTCTCAGCCCACTTGGCCTTGACAACAGAAGCCACGTTCTTCCCCGGAGTAGGACCTCCCATTTGGGCTGATTGACCTGGTGGTGCCTCTTTGGGTTACTCTCAGTGTACTCATTCCTTCTCCTGCTCTCTTCCCCTGCCCTGCCCCTACTCCTTTCTGTCCAGCCCAACCAGGAGACTGGAGAGAACACAGAGCAATGGCAACCCGAAGAAAAGGCCAGTACACCCTGTGGAAGTCCTCTCTGGACAGCATGTGAGTAGCCATTGGGTGATGTCAACTCCCTCCCCAACAAGTTCCCCAAACACTGATTCATCCATCAAGGATCTGAGTGCCTCCTGAGGGTCTGTTGCCAGGCACTAAATCAGCACAAAGAGTACTCTTTGAATAAGCATAGTCCTTTCCCTAAAGAGTTCTCAGTATTGTAAGGGACAGAGACCCAGTGATACAGCAGTGTGACTGGTATTATTAGGGGAGTGTAGAGGAAGGGCAGGGAGCCTAGATTTTGTAGGGGATGATCATGGAAGGCTTCCTGGAGGAAGAGACATTCAGGCTGAAATTTGAAGGATGATTACTCATTATCCAAGTGAAGAAAGTGGGAAGAGGAAGGCTGTTCAGCCTGAGGGAACCGCTTGAGCAAAGGCCCAGAAGAGTCCTGTCTCCTCATGAAGACCTGGAGGTAACCCCTGAACCCTGGGCCAGGAGGCTGAGAGACTCCAGGCCTCTAGACTTGGCTCCTTCACCCTGAGGTGAAGCCTCTGCTTTTGCTCTTGTGCAGGGCCCCAGACTCCGCCCACTGCTGGGGTGAGGGTCACCCCATGTCATAAGCCCTGTGGAGTGGGCTTCACAGAGGCTTGGGTGTTCCAGGTGAGAGGTGAAGACAAGAGAGGTTAATAGCCTGCAAATAGTTGAGAGGATGAAGCCCCCTGTGAAGCAAATAGAATATGCTTGGAGGTTGGAGGCAGGTGCAGTAGGAGGGGTCTGCCTAGCCCGGGCCATCCTGGGGAGCGACCTTCAGAGCCACAGGGAGAGGCGGGCATGGTAGCACTGGCTGAGAGCCTACTGCATGGGCACCTTCCTGAGAACCAGATGGAGAGTTCTCTCCCCAGACCCAGCCTCCAGTTCATGGGCTTCAGGAAAGCGGCAGTGCCTAATATCCTGGAGGAGGGTGGTTATGGGGATAGATGAAGGGGGTGCCTTCTGGGGACAAGTTCAAGGGGTTTATGTCACTCGGGAGGAGGAGTCACAAGGGGGCTGTGGTGAGGGATCAGGTGTTGGGGGAGGTGGGAAACTGAAATGGAACCTACCTCCAAGTTGCAAGGAACCCCTCAGTCTGCAGCCCAGCACTGTCTTCCCAGGGTGAGAAAGACAGGCCGAGGCGGGGCTTTGCTGGGGCCACCAGCAGAGAGGCAGAGCAGACACCCAGCCAGCCAGTCATGTAGGGGAATCAATAGCCTGCTGTGAAGTGCTCCAAAGAAACACACAGTGGTTCCAAGCTGCAGGACCTGGGCAGAGGCGGCTGGTGTGTGTGTGTGTGTGTGTCTTTGTAATAGAAGAAAGGAGGAGGCAGAGAGAGAAACAGGCCAGGAGATTTTCCGGAAAAACTTCCCACCTAGGCCTGACTTGAGAAGTATAGTTGACACTTGAACAACAAGGGTTTGAACTGTGCAGGTCCACTTACAGGCATATTTTTTCCCCAATAAATACGTATACAGTTGGTGCTCTGTATCCACAGGTTTCTGCATCTGCATGGAAATTGGAGACTAGAGAGTACCAACTGTACTCATTGTACTTTGCCATTTTATATAAGGAACTTGAACATCTGAGGATTTTGTTATACTCAGAGGCTCCCGAAACCAATCCCCAGCAGGTACCAAGGAATGACTGTAATCTGAAGCAAGGGGAATGGACTCCCCAGGGCTGGGGTGGGAGGGGTGCAAGGTGGGGAGTGAGGAGGCTGCCTGTGCCATGAGACGCTGCTGGGAGCTGGAGCCTGGGACAGGGCTGCCACTGACTCCTCGGTTGCTGGTGAGGGACCCAGACTCAGAGAACAGACGTTTTCCAGGATTCTGGCATTGGAGGGCTGGGCAAAGATGAAACAAACCTGGTAGCCAGATCCTTGGCCTGGGAGCCAAGACCTTGAGGCTGTCTTGAGTAGCTGGGAGGGGTGAATTGAAGGTTAGGGTTGGATGGGAGGAAGGCCTGGCATTAGCCACAACAGGGGCAGAGGCTGAGGGCTGGAGGTTGCTAGTAATCTGCCTGAAGAGTTGAGAATTTTCAGTTGCCCTGATGAGGAGAAAAGCCTGGGATCTGGTGCCTCTTTATCCAAAGAGGGAGAGGGCATTAGCTCCACAGCTGCAGGCCCCATAGCCCCATGACTTTCGATAGAGGTCACTTCTGTTTTCCTGCTCTGTGCTGCACTGGGGCTGTGCCTGCTGCCGGGATGTGTGAAACATGAAGCCAATAGGCTGGCACTCTGGAGTAGGTGGAGGGACTTGGGTGTCAGACGTCCTGGGCCCCCGTGGCACCCATGCAGAGATCTCATGCTGTGCCCTTCTTTGATGCAGTGACTTCTGATGCACAGAGGATGGGGTAAGGCTGTTCAACAACAAACATGTGGGAACTGCACACCAATACAGGGTTTAGTTTCCTTCCTAAGCATGTATTCAAACCAACCCTCTTGTTTTATGAAGAGTGAGTCCTAGCCAGCAGTGTGAAGTAGCACCCTCGATCATCCTTAATCTCTTCTCCAGCTTTAGGTAGATTCAGAAGGAGGTAGGGGAAGCATCCTCCACCAATAGTGCACTTACTGAACATGGACAGCACCAGAAAACACAAATACCTTGGGCAACTCCCAATTACATGCATTCATAGATGGCAAGTATGCTTCAGGCAATACAAAACTCGTTTTTGACTTGATTTTGTATTTTGGCAATTACATGTTGCATGAACTAGCATTAAAGTGGATTTGCATTCTCAGAGCACAAGTTGGAGGTGTGACAAAGCGGGTGAAGTGGGAGGCATGTCGGTCTAGGCTTTAAAAATTGTTCAGCGGTAACTGACAAGATGGACAAAACCAGACTGAGCTGACTACTGTAATTACTAGCAGTCAAGATCGTCATAATCAAACCAGTTTTGAACATGGAAACTTCCTTTGGCAACCACTCATATGACAGACGTCATCCCCTGTAACCTCTCTATTTTTATAGAATTTTGAGACAGAGAGCCCAAAGGTGCCTTAGGTAATGTCTCTGGGGTTAGTGTCTTCGTGGCATTTCTTTCAGGGATGGGAAGATACTGGTGACCTCCAGGTGACAATAGGATGGATGTGGGATGGAAGTGGAGACTGTTGGAGCACAGGGCCCGGGGAGAAGGCCTAGATGGGAAACAGGTACAGGTGGTACAGGGACCCACACTGAAACTCATCAAGGGCCATGGAAATCGGAGGCATAGGCTGTAGCTGCAGGGGTGCTGGTGGAGGGGAGTCCCTCAGATGCCAGGAAAACGCCCATGCCGGCAGAGGAAACGCTGTCTTCCTTTTCCCATGGGCAAGTGGTGGAGGCCTGGGTCTAAGGGACATGGAAAAAATATCGAGTTCCCCTTCCTTAATTCGCATCCTTTCCAGGGCTGACTAGGATGCTCTTAGAGTTCTTTCTCAGCCTCTCGGAAGAAAGGGGGAAATCCCGCGGAAGTCCAGTGTGGTTTTGAGCCTAGTCAGATACACGGACGCGGACGAGACCCTCTAAGCCGCGTCCCTCCAAGGGGGGGAGGGGAGAAGGCA